CAATCCTTATTCTTTCTACTGCTTCTTTCTTTCCATTCCTTCTAACAAATAATAAAATAACCCTATTATTCTATTATTCCTTATTGGGCTTAAAACCAATACACCCCCTTATTACTTCTATTTCTCTCAAAATAAGCCCACCTTAAATAATATTACTCTTTAATATTATTTCACCACGTAATATTATATCTCTAATATTATTTCTCCACTTAATAAAATAAATCCAATTAATTATAACGCAACTTCTTAAATATTCCAAAAATAATTTAATTAAATAATTAATTAAATTACGGGCGTTACAAAAACAACTTTATAATTTATCTTCTGATCTTTTTCCATCAGAACTTCTCTACAAAACATAATATAATTTTATGGAGCAAAAATGTTCTTTGCTTTTGTTATCATCAAAACTCTTACAAGGGTTGTAGAATCAAACTATGTTTTAACAATCTCTCCCTTTTTGATGATGACAAAAATTAGGATATTTCAATCAAAACAGACAGAACATAAAGTATTTTAAGATCTCCCCCTGAGTTGAGTACTTAGATAGTGATTAATCAATTCCCTGAAGTTCATTCTGATCAGAGCTTTTGATGGAGCTTTTGATGCATCTACTTTTGTCCTTATCATAGTTATTGTCCTGTTTTACTTCCAGATCAAGAAACGAGAAGTTATGATATACAAAATGTTTGAGACCGTGTCTTGATACTGTTATTAGAAATATCTTACGTTCTCCCCCCTTTTGTCAAGAATCAAAAAGCAATATAAACACTAAGATTCAGAAGCAATAAATAAGAGTTGTATTGAAAAGGATTGCAAAAAATTTTTGAATACAATAAAGAAACCAAGTTTAAAAACTAAGATTGAGGTGGAGGAAGACGTGTGAACGAGGCTTCCAATAAGATCTTAATTTGAGTGTTCGATTCCTCTTGTTTTCTCAGCATTCCTTTGATTTCTTTGCATGTGCCATCTTGCTTGTCTAATCTCTCCTTTATCACTACATTTTCTTTCTTCATTTCCTCTAGAGTTTGCATAACCAGAGATGAATAACATATATCCACAGAAGATGCAACCTTCTCAGAACAAGCTGCAGCAGATTCTAACTCAGTAGCTTCTTCAATCTCCTTGCCTCTGTCTTGAACAATAACCAAAGGAAGATTATCAGAGCATGGTTCATCAACTTCTGAAGGATGACAATCTTCCCACGGGGAATTATTCAACAGAAGAATATGTTTCTTTTCCCAGTGACGCAGAACTTGATCCTTGAAAACATTCAGCTGATCACATAAGTTCTGTTGGGCCATTTCATAGCTTAACTCCTTGAGTTTTTGGGATTCAGAGTTGAACCATTTTCTGAACCGATTCCAGTGAGAATCAGAAGCAGCAGGATTCAGATTTTATAAGCAGGCTAGCTTCAAAAAGATAACCCATTCAATTATCTCTGTTTCAAAAATCAGTAAATTTCTACCAATATCTGCCTTGGTGATAGTTGGTTTTGGTTTTGGGATAACAATTTTGTGAGAGCTAGAGGCAAGGTTATCCAGCGCTTCTAAGTCTATTACAGTTCTTAGGTGATCTTCTGGGGGATTGATAGGAGAGGGAAAGGGAGAATATGAAATGATAATGGGTGAGGGAGGTGTGTTTGGTGGAGTGGAATGGTAAGGAGATAGAATTTCTGGAATGTCGTGGATTGAGAGAGGTTGTCGAACCATGAGAGGTTCTGTTATTCCAAGAATTGGTGTAGTGGTATCAGAGTCAATATTTGGATTTTCTGGTTGGAGAGCGTGAACGTTTGGATTTTCTGAGTTGGGAGCTTGAGAGTTTGGATTTTCTATGCGGGGAGCTTGGAATTCTGGATCAAATTGATCAATATCAAAAAGAACTTGAGCAATTTCTGGCTGATTTTGGTCAAGACGTGAGGTAGTAAAATGTGGTTCGTTAAGAATGTGTTCTAGTGTGAGCGAAGGGTCAAATTCTATATCAAAATCATCAAAGGTTTGTGGTGAAGGGTCTTCTGTTGGTTTTGGAGAGGAGGGGATTTTAGACGTTGATAAAATCATTGATTCTACATCTGAAATAAAAGAAGGATTACCTTTCTTCTTAGAAGCTTTTGGTACCTTTTGAGAAGATCATTCTCCTGTAGCTTTCCTTTTTCTGGATTTCTTGAGAACAACTTCTGGAGCCTATTGACGCATATCACAAATGTTTAATTTTGGATTAGTGCCATCTATTTTGCATGCTTCCAAATATCTACAATGATTTATGGAGAAACATTTATTTGAGAGAACAAAGGGAAATCCTTCATAGGAACTCTTCTTGATGTGATGACTTCTTTGGTTACAATAGTTGGATCCTTCTTAATGTTGTCAATGATTTTCATCTTCTTCAGATTCTTCGCATTGAGAGGTTTTCCAGCACATGCTTCCAAAGTGCTGATCTGCTGAGCTTCAGTCAGATATTCTACCAATTTGTTTTTAGTCGGAGTATCTGATATCAGCCTACCCAGAGGTATCCAGTCCCTCTTAGTCCTCTCTTCTTCTCTAGTTTCTTTCACAGTTATCTTTAAATGATTGAATAACAGATGAGGAGGATTTATCTTTTCCTTTGTTGCAACGAAGTACAACAGAAATTATTGGTTAATGTTGATATAATCAAGAGAGCTTGTGGGCTTCATGTGGTTGATGCAACCCAAATTAATTTTTGCCCAAATTCTGAAGTAGTCCTTCAGATCTTTAACTTTGTTTGATGGCTGCCCAGAAGTAAAAATCTCTCTTGAGATTATTGGTAGGTCAGAACATTTTTCTATTAAAGCAAAATGTTTTGAATGATATCAAAGCATATGTCTTGACATCTGCCTCCTGAGTTGAATGCAACTCATATCAGTTTAAGTTTTATGTTTCCTGTTTTCATGCGCACCATAATTCAGGATTTGTGACTCATAGCCTACGAAAAATATATAGGAATATTTTTCTATTTGAATTATCCTTATGGATTATATCTTGGCATGTTTTCATGGAAATATTCAAAAGATTGGAATATTTGTTTTTCAGCCTAAGCCCACTGCTGCACCTTTACAATGACCTGTTTCCTTATTCATTAAACTGCAACTTTTGAACAAGAATACTTTCTTTCTATTTTAGAAGTCTAAGTCTTTTAATTGTCATACACTATAATATTGATTTAATACTTGAGTTGTTATTCAAGTTGTTAATTATGGATCATTCATAAGCATTTAAGCATTGAATGATTGAATTTTTTAAAACTTGTTATTTCAGTTGTTCTTCACTGTAAGTGATTGAAGGGATTTAAGGATGGCCTCATATCTAGGTGTGTCTTAGGTAAAAGTATAGCACGGGTAGTGATTAAGTGATTAGATCATAAACTGGTTGTGGCCTACCTTAAATATTTCATCGACCTGGAGTCCATTGACGAGTGGAATTGGGGAGAAACATGATCGGTTTACCTATACTTTAACCTGAACGAAGGTTGCAAATGGATGATGAAGCAGACAACAGGCTCATGCACCATGGTTACGGTAATTTCCAAATCCCACTATTAAGTTACAAACTAATTTTTTTTCACAATTGTTACTAATACTTTTTTTCTTATTCATTTTTAATGATGTATCCTTGCTCACAGTCATTGTATCCACGAGTTTAATCGTGACCCATTATATTCTCACAATTGACCATATACTTTATGGTTTGTCCCTAGTGGAGGGAATGCTCATATCTTGTAGTACCGTGTGTATATCGATCAGACTCAACTTGACGATGTAAAATGGAGGCCATATAGTGCTCATTGGGACATAGTTCCATTCGACCTCATTTCCTTATACTCTGCATGGTTGGTATGTGGGACCAACATCACGTGTATGTATCTGCCTGAGCGATGATGGTACTAGAAGAGTATCTAAGTCAGGCAATCACATCTGAGTTGTCTTACGTGAAAGGTTACATGATATGGTTCACAGGATGTCACACTCTTACATGACACGGAACACTCCTGGACGTCTACTTAGGTATGCTCATGAGGAGATCATAGAGAATGAACAGGCCACTGACGACCATAACGTTGATGTGTTTCCGCGCTATCAGACCATTATGCGGCTTGCACGTGCGAGCATCGAGTATGAAGTGTTTGCAAGAGATGGAGACGAAGCAACCGCCCTTGCACAGTCCATTATTTTCGAGGCACAGAGTGCCATAGCTTACCGTAGGCAGAGGAGGAACCAGAGTGTTAGGATAAAACATACATATTATAATATACATTTGATTGTATTTTTTTTATAATTTTAATCGATCTTGAAAATAATTGTTGTACTAATATATTTGGTTTCTATAATATTCAGTTTCATTAAAACTTTACGTGGTTCTATAATATTCGTTTTTATTAATCGTTGAAATAAATAACGACAATTTTAATCGAATTGAAATTAATTTCAATTAGAAACACCACAATATTAAAAAACAGATCCTAGAAAATCATATATACAACAATTCAGAGACGCATCTCCGAATTATCTCTGTACATGGTTGAAATATATATCTATCTCCGAACCAATTTTTAAAAAAAACAAGAGATTGTTTTTAATTTTCTAAGACAAAAAATGACTTCAAACATACATCTTCAAATTTATCTTAGGAGTAAACTTGGAGATTCAAAGAAGCTTCTCGATATAAATTTTGTGAAAATATGATATTTGATGCAGATATCATCTAACTCAAACAAGGTAGCCCAAATAAACATGGCCCATTCTAGCTGGGCCCCTGCGGGTCTCCTACGTGGGATACCAAAAGCGCGTTCACTCCACTCGCACTTATCACTTAACGTTCCCGTCACCCCACTTGACGGCAAATACCCTACTAACTCACGGAACTCCCACTCCGTCAACCCATCTCAACACACATCTCCACCTTCTCTCAACGCGCAACACTCTCTTTCCCTAACGTCCTCCACAACGCCGTTCCCTCAAACCTTAACGCTTCTCCGTTACCCTTATGGCATCTTGCGACGACGACGATGATTTCTCTATCCTCCGTGACGATAACCACCACTCTCACCATCTTCACCAAACCTTCGCACCGCATCACCACCATCACCACCACCACCATTTCTCCGCCGCATCAGTCCAATCAAAGCCTATCGCCGACGATGATACCGATGATTACGGAAATCCGTTCGATGATGACGCCGGTAGCGAGAAACGTAAAGATCGAGATCGAGATGAGATCGGTGACGGAACGACGTCGTACGGGTTTAACAAGAGGCCGAAACCAGCTTCTAGCGGAAACGGAAACGGTGGAGTAGGGGCAGAGTATAGGAAGGATCGAGAAGAGTGGAGCGATACAGCGATTGTTTGCTTGCTGGAAGCGTATACTGAGAAGTTCACGCAGCTGAATCGGGGGAATCTGAGGGGGAGAGATTGGGAGGAGGTAGCGTCGGTGGTGAGTGAACGCTGTGAGAATCAATCCAAGAGTGTGGAGCAGTGTAAGAACAAGGTTGATAACCTGAAGAAACGGTATAAGCTGGAAAGACACAGAATGAACAATGGCTGCATCTCCGCCAGTCACTGGCCTTGGTTCAAGCAGATGGAGAATATCGTCGGGAATTCTCTACCTTCGAAGTTTGCGGATGAGGATAAAGCCATTGTTCCTGCTTCCAATTCTCCTAGGCAGTCCAAGAGGTTTCCTTTGTTCTCTTAGCACCTTAATCTGTTTCGGAAATGTTCAATTTACTTGGATACTTATTCTTCGGAATAGTAATAGTATAAAAATCAAAACTTTATGACATTACTTCTGCTGTAAGCTTAAACTTTAGGATAGGATTTTTTAAATAAATAGGCTTTCGTTGAGTATGACTGTGTCTGAAAATCTGGTATTTTGTTCAGAGGTGTTTCCTGCGCACATCTGGTGTCTGAAAATCAAATCATTTTGTGGTGTTTACTTTATTATTATCGGTCTTGTGGCATAATTTTGATCTTAGTATCCACCAGCAAATCAGTTCTTTTGAGTTTCACTGTGCTTTATATCCTCCAAGATACATAATTCAACTAGATACTTACAACTTGAATGAAGAAAACTTCTTATAGTTACTTTTAATTAGAGGTGCTCATGGTGTTCTATTATGTACAGTCTTAGTACTGCATGACATAGTTTCTTTTTACGTGTTAGCAAGAGCAAGTTTAGTCAGTAGCATATTGATGTGCCTGGTGTCTGGATATAGACATAATTTTGAACATAATTGATTTTGTGAGATTGATTTGGTTAAAATTCAATTTAAAGCTAGTGATTGATGTTTGCGAGCTTTTACTTTGAAAGCAAGCATGGTGTATAGTGTGGTTTAAAATTTTCAGTTTAATGCAAAAGCTATTTTTATCACTTCTAGTTAAACAAAGCTTGAAGACAAAATCATCTTTCTTTAGTATAACAGTAATCGAACAACTATACTTTTTACTAAAATCCAGTGTTGTTAAATATTAGCCTTGGCGGTGTCATGGCAAATTGGGCTTGCTGAATTTTTAAGACTGCCATGTACAATTTCTGTAGGATGGCGGCTCTATATGGTGGACTTTTAGCTTTTCAGCATGGTCATCCATCGATAACTCTGTTAAAGTCACATTTGACAGCAACATTATCAATTCTGACTGTGAAACTAAACACCCTAGGATTTTGAAACAATTAAGGGTATGCGGGCTTAAGTGACACCACAATTTTATTTTGTTGGATGGAGTGGCATATTGTATGTGTTTGGACTGTTGTATTTTGAATTTCATTCACTTTGTATTGTTTTCCTTGTAATATTGTGAGTGATATCTTACCCTCCTTTATTTATAGATATGGAATGGCAACATCCAGCAGTGGAGGTCAAGTAAACAGCCTGAAGTCCAAAGCATTGACAAACCTTAGATGGCGGAGAGTTGTTCTAAAAATTAGTGGATCAGCACTTACCGGATCCGATACCTGCAATATTGACCCTAAGGTTTGTGTGAATGTTCCTACATGAAAAAACAGTTGCAATCTGGTTATAATATATATGTGGAAAGTTTGACAGTTTTGACTGATGACCCTAGTCTAAATTAAGTAGAAGTCTAATTGTTGTATGAATGTTCTGATAAAACTTACTCCATTTGCTGCTTAAATTTTGTCAGGTGGCCATGTTAGTTTCAAGTGAAGTTGCAATAGCTTCCCGCCTTGGTGTCGAGGTATCAATTCTCATGACTGTCCTCTAGAGTTTGGTATTATGCTATCCTATTCAGTTTATCTGAAGCTTGCATCTTCTTTCTTTGTGATATTTCAGATAGCAATTGTTGTTGGAGGTCGTAATTTCTTCTGTGGAGACGCATGGGTAACTGCTACAGGTTTAGAAAGATGTACTGCATACCAAGTTGGGTAAGATTAATCACTAAAAGCTCAATGTGTATACTTTTTATGGTCTTGCAATTTTACTAGAAGTTCATCACAAGTAAAATATATGGAAAAATATGTTTAAATCTCAGAGCAACCATCAATATCCTGATTACAAATGGATGATCCAACGAAAACAAAATTTGAGCTAGTTGCAGTTGTGATTTTGGTAAGAGAGCATTTTGGTGATAGGTCTTGGAAGGCCGCATCTGGGAATTTAACTTTTACTTGTATTATGTATGGGATATTGGTTGTGTCAGTTGCTAAGCACTTGCGTTGTCTAGATCATCGGTCTGCAAAGAGGACGAAGACTCGTCTCATTTTAAAAAAGTAAATTGGAAATATGATATTTGAGTTTATAGGTCGGGCTGAAAAATGCAGGGTGCGGTCAGAATCACCAGGGGGATAAAATTGTACTGTGTTTTGTCTAGATTGTTTCTCTTCCAACTGGATATGCATTGTTGATGTTTTGCATAAGCCTATGCATGGCCTTATTAGAGTTGCACTTCTGACCTTTGTTTAGCTGCATATTCAAATTTGGGCAGTTTTGATATTATGACGAATTAATAAGTTTACATTGAAATACCCACGACAATTTGTTTTAACAGTTTTATTTGCCAACTATCCGAATTATGTTTTTACGCATTCCGAAAGCCTAAATGTTTTTTTTATGCTTGGACTTTACTGGCACCCCTTTGTGTTCAGGCAAGCAACTAACTTCTCCATGTCTTGCACATGGGTAATATGAGGATCGGTGCTTTTATGTCTTCTAGTTTAGTAGATGTTGTACTTATGTGGCCATAAGATCTTTTTAATCTTTGTGGTTTACATATCTTCTTAAGTGATTTACTTTTGTTTCTACTTTATTTTAAAATATTGACCTGAATGAATAGTTGCTTCTTAAATATGTCAGGATGATGGCTACTGTGATGAATTCGTTACTGCTCCAATCAACCCTCGAGAAGATGGGAGTTCAGACTCGTGTTCAAACTTCAGTTTCAATGCAGGAGTTTGCTGAACCATACAATAGGCAACGGGCAATCAGGCATCTTGAGAAAGGAAGAGTTGTTATATTTGGTGGCATTGGTTTTGGTGCCGGCAATCCACTTTTCTCAACTGACATAGCTGCTGCTCTTCGGGCCTCAGAAGGTAAGCCACTGTCTTTTTTATTATAAATATTTTCTAATTACTATTTCTCCTGCATCATCTATCATTTACATAAATGGGCAACACATGGATTCTTTTGGCAAGCATAATTAGCCCGTATCTTCTGCTCTGCAGTTAATGCTCAGGCAGTCCTCAAAGCTACTAACGTAGATGGTGTATATGACTGCAGCTCCCGAGACACCAATTTCACTTTTGAACACATATCCTTCAGAGAGCTAGTGTCTAGAGGTGTCACCTCTATGGATATGTCAGCCTTGACATTCTGTGAGGAAAATGCCATTCCTGGTAAGTAATATATTGCTTATGGTCTTTTTATGGGTGTGGTCCGGGTTGAGGTGTTTTAGGTATTGTTCAATACACAACAATTATCATTTCCCAATGTGCCACACCGTAAATTTCAAATAAGTCTTGTTGAATATAAAATGGCTAGGTACTTCTATGAAAGAATTTTATATTGTGCTTAGTTGTCGTTCTCGTGGAATTTACTATTTTGCTTTTATGTGCAAGTTTTTGTGTTGTGCAAGTTGTCGTTCTCGTGGAATGTTATTTTCGTAAACTGATGATGATATTCATTGAAGTAACGAATGAAGTAGACAATTCATAACAATCTATTTGATGAGTTTATTTTTCACCATTTACTTGTGCAGTTGTAGTTTTTAATCTATTGGCCCCTGGGAACATCTCAAAAGCTTTATGTGGAGAACAAGTTGGCACACTAATTGACCAAACTGGAGCAATAAGCTAACAATTAATTCAACCAATTCCATTATTATTAGGAAAGTTAGAATCATTAAAGTCAATCAAATACTTGCCACCACTGAGATGTTTGGAGAAGAAAATATAAAATCTCAACTGATTCAGTGTTATTCGGCAAAGTTTGCGCAAACTGTAGAGCTGAAGTCGCAAATTTCCTCTGCCTATGTTGTTTATGTGGTGGCTGTACTTTTAATATATTTCTGTAAAATGTAAAAAAGGAAATGCCTCTGTAAATTGTTCCTAGATGAGTTGTAGCATTGTAATGTATTATCAGTAGCCTTCCTTGTTGGTAAAATGCGAAGAGATATTGAGTAATTCAACTCATGTATAACTGTCATTATTGTATTCCTAGTGTACCGATAATCACTTCGAATAGATATTGAGTAATCTAACTCATATATAACTGTCTATTATTGTATTGCTAGTGTACCGATAATCTCTTAGGTCAAGCCCTTTTTTTAGTGAATTTTGTAGTGGAAATAAAGCTAGTCAAGAGATGAAAAATATAGAGGAAATATATTAAGTAATTATTTCTTGTAGTCAACTGTTGTAAGTAGGGATGTCAGTTTGGACCTGTTAATGGGGATCCCCGCGGGGAACGCCCCGTTCGGGGCCCAAAGATGGGGAATTTTCTTCCGTGGGGGCGGGGATAGGGAGAAAAAATTCCCCCGAGAGCATTTCGGAGACGGGGACGGAGAATACACCCCCCGCCCCGCCTATTATTTTAATATAGTTAATTTAATATATATATTTTAGATTAAGTTTTTTAGTCATTTCCTTTATGTTTATTTATAAAAATAAATAAATAAATATTCATGTATTTATTAAGAGAGAGAAATGTAAATATTAGACCCTAAAAAAGTTGAATCGTTTCATTTTCTTCTGTCAGACATTTAGAGTCTCACACGTTAGACTCCTTTTTTTCTTCTCCAGTCAAATCTCCATTCATCTTCCTCTTCCAATTCCATCTTCTCTATTTGGTGTGCTTCCATTCTCCAGTCAAATCTCCATTCATCTTCCTCTTCCAATTCCATCTTCTCTATTTGGTGTGCTTCCATTATTCACAGCTCTTACAATTTCATCAATAAGGTTTGATTTTCATAAATTTGTTCATGTAATTATTTATAGGAAAAAATAGATTATTTCTCTTTGATTCTCATAAATCTGTTTATATTATTGTTTATAGAAAAAAGTAGATTGTTTCTCCTTGATTCTCATAAACCTGTTCATGTAATTGCTTATAGGAAAAGTTGATTATTTTGATTAAATTTAAATTAAATTGTTTAGAAATTTTAGAGTTATCAAATCATTTGCATATTAAAAAAATATAAAATAATAAAAAAATTACTCATTTTTATCTCCTTTTAAATATTTTTGTGTTCATTTTTTATCTATACTATGCATTTGTAATTAAAATAATGTCGTCAGTTTTTCCTTAAAAAATATTAAAATATACTTTTCCTATTTTTTATTAATATATCACACTATAATTTAATTTTCTATATTAAACAAAAAAATATTACTTTTTAAATGAATCAATATATCATGCTATCACGGTATCACCCATAAAAAAAACCAAATATCTTATATTTCTAATTATTAATGAAATAATAACATATAAACAATAATATATCATGCTATCACCCATAAAAAAAAATATATCTTATATTTCTAATTATAAAACCAAAGCCATTAAGTGAAATAATAACATATAACTTTTTACACGAGTAAATATATCATGTATATAGGTAAATAAATGTATTCTCAATGTATATAATTAATTAATATATGTTATTATTTCTAATTGAAAAGTTACAGTAAATAAGGCATATTTAGAAATATGTGTAATGCATCATATATTTAGAAATATAAGATTTTTCTTATTAATTATTTTTTGTGTGAATTTCATGTATTTACTATTTCATTTATTTATTATTTTTTCATATATTTATTATTTTTGTTCTACTTCCATGTAGCCTTTTAAAATTTGTGTTTGTGTGTGCCAGGTTTTTGGTAAAAGAATGGTTGGTGAAGTTCAATCATCTAATAGTCCTAATGTTGCTTTGGAAGGGAATGAAGTTCCTATAGAAAGTAGTGGAGTTTCACTCACACAGGAAGTTCAATCTACTCCAAATGAAATAAATATAGAAAATCAAGATCCTGAAGCTCCCGTTGAACCCACTACAAGTCCTAACAAAAGGGGATTAAAATCAGATGCTTGACCCTATTTTAAAAGGCAAAAAATAGGAGGCATTTGGAAGGCTATATGCAAATCTTGTGATAAGAAAATTGGTGGTGATACAAAAAATGGTACTAAACATTTATTTGATCATATTAGCATATGTCCAAAACGCACAGAGAGAGGTCCAAAACAAGCCATGCTTAAAGTGACAGAAAAAAAATCCGGAAACAGACATGAATCATTTGTGGTTGGAAATTATACATTTAATCAAGATGTTTCTAGGAATGAACTCGCGAAGATGATTATATTGCACGAATATCCCATCATGATGGTTAACCATATTGGTTTTAGAAATTATAGCCATTCTCTTCAACCTTTGTTCAAGATAGTTTCTCGCAACACCATGAAGAATGATATAATGAAGTTGTATGAAAGTGAGAAGTCAAAGCAAATGAAAATACTTGCAAAGAATAAAAGCCGCATTGCAATAACTACTGATATGTGGACTGCTAGCAACCAGAACAAAGGATATATGTATGTTACAGCTCATTACATTGATGAAAATTGGATTTTGCAGAATCGGATCATCAGGTAACTTCTCCCTTCCATTTACGTTATTATTATAATATAGTTATTTTATGTGATATTTATTATAATTTATTTTTAGGTTCATTTATGTCCCTACGCCACATACTGCTGAGGTCATTTGTGATTTTTTGGTAGATTGTTTGATGGATTGGAATATTGATAGAAAATTGTCAACATTAACCGTTGATAATTGTAGCACCAATGATGCTCTGATTGACCATTTGATTGATAAGATGTCACCTTCTTCTTTTATTTTAAAAGGGAAATTGTTTCATATGCGTTGTTGCGCCCACATATTAAACTTGATAGTGAAAGATGGCATGCAAACAATTTCTAGTTCAATTGAAAAGATTAGGAAAAGTGTCGGTTTTTGGGTAGCAACACCAAAGAGGGAGGAGAAATTTAAAGAAACTTGTAATCAATTGAACATGACTTATGAAAAGAAGCTTGCACAAGATTGTAGAACAAGATGGAACTCTACTTATTTAATGCTTGCTTCTGCATTGCCTTACGAACAAGTTTTTAAACGTTTAAAACAACGCCGTGATTCCCAATATAAGTGTGCACCAAGTGAAGAAGATTGGAAAATGGCAAGAGAAATTTGTGACAAGTTGAAATTATTTTTTAGTGTCACTGAGTTGTTCTCGGGTACTAAGTATCCAACATCAAACATTTATTTTCCCAAAGTTTGTCAAATAAGATTAGCTTTAAGAAAGTGGGAAGATTCTTCTAGTGATACTATACAAAGTATGGCAAGAAGTATGATAGTGAAGTTTGACAAATATTGGAGTTTGATTAATGGGGTGATGGCAATAGGGGCTGTTTTGGATCCTAGATATAAAATAACTTTGTTGAATTACTTCTTCCCACTTATGTATGGGAATAATGCTCCCAAAGAATTGGAAAAGGTAATACAAATGTGTGAAGATTTAGTTGAAGAATATCAACCAAATAATGATATGTTTCCTACAAGTAGTGAAGTTGGTGCATCAACATTGGTAGATGACATTGATGTCACAAGTCAAGATTGGGAGAAGGCTTATTCGGAATATGTGATGGAAAATACTTCAACTACAAATGTCAAGTCAGAATTTACTTCCTACTTGGAAGATGGTGTCTTGCTTGATAAACAAAAAAAGGAAAATTTTGACATCTTAGGATGGTGGAAACAAAATGGTTTGAAATTTCCAACTTTGCAAAAGATTGCAAGGGACTTTTTAGCAATTCCTATCTCTACCGTTGCTTCAGAGTCCGCCTTTAGTACTAGTGGTCGTGTTTTAAGTCAACAACGTAGTAGATTGAAGGAAGACACTTTAGAGGCTTTGATGTGCACTCAAGATTGGATCCGAAAAGATATAAAAGGTAATATATTTTTATCTTTTACAAGATTAATTGAAAAGGATTTTTAAATTTTAATTTAGCTATTTGTTTCTTAGGTTATTCAAAAACGTTGACTCAATTCGAATGTGTGGATGAAGATATGGATGATGATGATGATGATGATAATAAGGTAATTTACATATTAGTGTTGATTACCTTTTAGTTTTTAAAGTATTTTTTTAAGTAAATATAATTATTGATTGTTTACTTTTCGTAGGAAAAAGAAAGTCATATCTAATTGTAGAATGAGGAAGAAGACCTTGCAAGGAGAAGTTGGAAAGAGAGACATGATTGATCATTACTTGTTTGGATATTTTGCTTAATATTTTAGTTTATTTATATGTAACTTTGTTTTAAGTATTTTGATATTTCTACTTTACGTGTGTTATCAATTGAGCAAATAGAGATATGTTGATTTTTGCTTTTAGTTGACTTATTATGAAGTATTTTTTAGCTTTTCAAGCATACTCATGATGCTAAATTTTATAATTATCCCTTATTAGTTTTGATGAAGTATAGTTTTTTAAGCATAATTATGTTGTTGGATTTTTTTAGTTGTTTAGGCATATTGTTACTTTAAAAAGTATTATAGTTCATTTTGTTGAATTTTATAGCATTTTATAGAAATTTATAAAAAAAATATTATTATTTTGTGTTCCATTAGTATTTTTAATAAAAAATAATAAATGTCAAATACTAGTATTTTTTAATAACATAATAAATATATGAATTCTTTGTGCTTTTTATTTTTATAGAAAATATAAACATTTTAAAAAAATAAAATATTAATGAATAAATGTAGGATCTATGGGGATCCCCGCGGGAAACGGGGATCCGCG